TAATTTCTTTATTATTAGATTTGAAGTTTGAGGCACCCATTTGGTTTTATTTTAGATCATGTATGTAGTAACTCTGAGGACTCTGTTGAGGCACCCGAGAACTAAGAATTTCAAAGTTCAGGTTAATATTTGAGGATTGAAAATTATTAAAAGTACTTTGGGATCCAGAGGTATAGCTCAGCAGTAGAATGCCTGCCTACCACCCTGACGGCCATGGGTTCAGTCCCTAGTATCAGAAATACCCTGGGGAGTAAGAGAGGGCTTGAGAATTAGGCAAACCAGGATTCAGAACCTAGCTCTGCCACTGAGTAGAGGTGAGCCCTACACATGCTGCTTTGCCTCCCAAGCCTTCTCTCTCTGTGAGGTGAAACGTGCAATGGCCCCTCCCAGGGCTATAAGGAGAGCTCGTGGCAAGCATGTGGATAATACTTGGGGCAGCACTTTGCAGTATAGATAGTGCCTGAGACTGATTACTGTTGCGAGTGGCAAAGTGTTGAGAAAATGACATATTGTTAGGTAAGTGCTTAACCTGAATGGGGTAAATATTCTTATTATCCTTACTTCATTCTTTTTAATACCCTTTTCCTATAGCCAGATTACCTATCTAATAAGTGACAGACCAAACTCAAATTCAGGTCCTCTAACTTCTGACAAGAGAATGAGACTTTTTTGAAAGATGTCAATTCTTGTGAAGGAACCTTCTCATTCCCAAGCACCTCTCTGAAGTGGAGACCATTGTGAGAGTTGGCCAACCTCTGTGTTTTAGTTATTAGCACCTGTGTGGTATGATAAAAGGGGCTTTTTGACTGGCCTGGGTTTAAACTCTACAATGATCAAATAGCAGCTGTTTGTTTTACTTTACAGTTTTGATTAGGAACTAGAACTGTTCCATGGGTGAAGTAGCATTTCCTTTTGAGAGGCAGAATTGCACTTGCTAAAGAACCAGGTTGCTTAAGTTTAGAGGCTGACTGTGCTTCCCCTGGCTAAGTGACTTGGGTTACATTAATTACCTATGTTCCTCAGTTTTATTATCTACAAAGTGAGGATGAGAATGGGTCTGCCTCATAGGGTTGCTCAAAATATCCATCCAGTCAACACCATGGCCGTGGCTAAGACATTAGGGGGAGCCCCAGTTACTAGCTTTTGCTGGGTGTCCTTTGCACTGGGTCGGGGCCTTTGAGAGGAGCAGTGGAGTGATGGAAGACTATAGCAGAGCAGGGGATGGTAGCCCACTGCTGCCTGCACACCTCTCTCTAGCTCCCTGAACCATGGAGACGTGGCCCACTTCCACAAGAGTAGGACTGTTAAGTTTAGGGCCAAAGCTATAGACCTCCAGTCTAATGAGCAGCCAGACCATTTATCAGAAGCCCTTTACAGTGTCTTTCTTACAGCTGAGCGAATCCCAACTTGTGCCTCTGAAAGAAGGGGTTCCATCTGTGTTCTCAGAGGATTCCTGGACTTAAGCTTTGGAGATATTTTTGAGGGGCTTTAAAAATATCAGGTCATGTGGAATACTTATTTGTCATTCAGATCTTTGTTTTTAGTTGCCCTGCACTGTTTTCCGTAAGATTGTTGGCCAGCTTTTATGTTTCTCAGGTTCCAGGAATACTATTATAAAGCTGACTCTTCTATTTCCCTGTCCCTGTAGATTTACCCAGAACAGGATGAGTGTCTAATTATTATGATGCTCAACTGGGATCTGATTCAAAATAGTTTAAGCCATTGATCCCACCTAGAATGTCCTCCTTTTTTTTGTGCCTGTTTATTTGTATTCTGCACATCCATCAACATCTCCATGTGACCCATTTCTTACTTAGGTCTGTCCTAAGGAAACTGTGACACATTCATTCCTAGCAGCTATGAGTCTTACACTTCTTCCTGTTTTTTAAATTTTACTGGCTTCTTCAATGCGCGCGCGTGTGTGTGTGTGTGTGTGTGTGTGTGTGTGTGTGTGTGTGTGTGTATTCTGACTCTGTAACAAGGTTTCTGCCACCCCCACCCATGGGTAGAGTCCATATTTGCTTCGTTTATACTCTCCTCTGTCACCATACCAAATGTATTGTTAAGCATACTACACCTGAGTGATTGTCCTAGAACACAGGTGTGACCCCTCTGTGCTCTAGAGATCCTTCCCTGGTTCCCATTAGTTATCAAGGAAAGTTCACGTCTAGTACAGAAGTCCATGACCCGCCCAACTTGGTCCTCAACTCCTTCTGTGCCTTTTTCCTCCAAGTACCAGTTGCTCCTTCTAACAAACTTAGACATCACAAAGAGGTCAGTTCCCAGGGGCCTCTGCTTCTGCACATTGCTTTTCCCTGTGCCATCTTATACTGCCACTCTTGATCTGGCGAGTTCTGTCCATCTTTCTCAGTGAATTATAGTCAGTACTGATCACTGGTGGTGAGATTCTGGCAAAAGTAAGTAAGGCAGTGACAGGGAGAATACAAATTTGACCTCAGGTTAGGGAAGAGGGCTGGCACACTTTGTCAGTCTTTAGTTTTAGAAGAACAGTTCAGTGAGGAGGTTAAAGATTAGCAGATTTGATAATTTATTGGAGCTGTTTATGGATTTCAACAAAAGCAGTTAGTATAATTGTTTTAGAAATAGCCAGTTTACCACATGCAGGTAAACTTTACATCATTTCATTTATTCTTCACAACAGCCTTGTAAGGTAAGTACTATATCATGAACTCCATTATCGATTACAGAACTAGGGCTTAAAGAAAATCTTTTAGAAACATAATCTTGGTACCTTCGATATATACATAAAATATGAAAATAATTGGGCTGGGGCCATGGAGCTGTGTAGATTATTTATAATAATTAAAAATTTTATAGTCTTCCATATTTATTGTAAATATTAGCTATGATTTGAATGGCTTTAGGAAGGACATATACTTAAATTGTCCTAAGCCAACAGCTCCCCATTGTCTTATGCCTACCTAACTTTTTGGTCTCCAAATGTAGCAAGTTTGACATCCACATTCAAAGACCTTACACGGAGAATTCTCCCTCAAACAATGTAAATGTTTTTTGTTTAAAAGAGCAATAAGCTGGCAACTTTTTTGGTTCCAGGGTATAGTATACATGATGTAGTTTGCAAAGAATGGCTGCACCAGGACCACCACGTAAATGTAACTGTGGATGTAATACGGGTATGGTGGGGTGTGTGAGCTGGAGCCACAGGGAAAGGTGGAAAATGACAGGTCAGAGTGGTAGAGCTGGTGTGCCTTGGTGACCAGAAGGGGACCAGAGTTTGACATAAGGACTTTGTCAAATTTGTGAAGTCCAAGTTATAGAGCTTATTTAGAGTAAAGATGGATTTAGTTTTAGTTCTCTATTCTTGGGCAACTTTTTTCTCCTCTTATATTTTTCCCCCAGCATGAAAAAAAGGGAGAGTGGTCCAGTCATGCACACGAACACTTCCATACCAGAGTAGTGAGCATGTCTTCATCTTTCCTGTGGTCCTTTGTTGACTCTGAATTATATCTTTTTTTGAGCTGCATCTTTGAATCTTGTTTCAGTAAGAGTAAATTAATCAARATTAACCTCTTAAAAATGTCCTTCAGTCTGGTTTTGCAAGGCGTGAAAAGCGCTGGTTTTTAAAAATCTCTTGGCGAGGGGGAGACCATATTATACGAATAGTTGAGTGTTTCTGGGAACTGACTTTGAGTATCCCAGACAGCATGACCAGAATTTGAAAAAAGAGAGAGATCACAAGCCTTGAGCCAAAATGATGTTTAAAAAAAAAAAAAAAAAAAATCCGTTGCTCAAGATCATGGGTAACTGTGATGCATTTAGAGCCAGGAAGTGATGCAGTAGTTGAGCATAAGCAGGATGGGAGCATCGGGCCCTTCCTTGGGGAGCACAGCCATACACTCACACATGAGCACAGTCCTGGGAACTTGGGGTGGTCCACACCAGACCTGGTTTAGGCTCTTGTGAACCAAGGCCAGTCTTGCAGTGCATGTTAGTTCTGCATAGTGGCTGATGGCCATAATAGAGCAGCTAACAGGGGGAAAAGCGGGGTCAAAAACACCCACTGGCATTTTATACCTCATTTAATGGAAAATATGACAGTTAACTATATCCCTTGGCTAATCAGGAGTCAGTCTCTTTGGCCCATTCCTGTGTGGATATTGCCATGTTTACTGTGAACTTATGGTTTTGTAAAAGGAAGCTACAGTTAGCCTTCATGATTTAGAATGTATAGATTTTTTTTTTTCTGTTTACCTACAGTAGGATTGACTCTTCCTGGTGTGTAGTCTTATGACTTTTCAGAGTGTATTCAATTGTCTAAATGAATCCATAAAGAAAACATGGGTCAGTTCTGTTACCTCTCAGACTTTCTTGTGCTACCTGCATATAGTCATTCCTATCCCTCACCTCCAGCCCCCACCAACCACAGATCTAGTTTTTGTTCCTGTATATGACATTTTCCAGAATGTTATATAAATGAAGACTTTAGAATCTGGCTTCTTTCACTTAGTATACTGAATTTAGGTCATTTTTATTAATTTATTCATTCATTTTTGGTGCTGGGAATTGAACCCAGGGTACTCCACCACTGAGCTACATCCCCAGCCCTTTTAATTTTTTTTATTTTGAGAAAGACCACCCAGGCTGGTCTTGAACTTGGATCCTCCTGCCTCCACCTCTCCAGTGACTGGGATTATAGGTGTGCACCACCAAAGCCAACTACGTATTTTAGAATTTAAAAGGAATGCTGAGTAGGTGCAGTAGTAGTCACCTTTAATCCCAGCGACTCAGATGCTAAGTGGTAGAACACCCACTTAGCATACAGCAAGCAAGCCCTGGATTCAATCTCTCTTACACACACATACACACAACAACAAGGAAATGTTTTGAAATCTAGAAATCATTTAAATAGTAACAGAAATTTTTTAGTATCTTCAGTATATTTCACCTATGGATCACAGTGTATTTGGAATTATGAAAACAGATATTAAAAATAAAGTGACTAGGGGCTGGGGTTGTGGCTCAGTGGTAGAGCGCTCGCCTAGCACGTGCGAGGCCCTAACTTCAATCCTCAGCACCACATAAAAATAAATAAATAAAATAAAGGTAAAAAATTTTAAAAATGGAGTTGCTTAGGCTCAGGCCTAAGGCCATCCTCCAAAAAAAAAAAAAAAAGTGACTAAACATATGTAGTTAATTTTTTTTTTAAATTTCTACATTGTATTTTGTCAGTATTTTATCTTTTATGACTTAGGAGTCTTAATTCGTACTGAAAAAGGCAAAGTTATCAAAATGTGAAAGCTACCTTCTAATTTTGAAAATTTTCACTGGGAGCAGGACATTATGATGATGTTTAGCTGTTAATTTTTTCTGTGCCTCCTCCTCTTAGAAATGTCCTGCAATAAAACTAGAAAATTGTGCAGACATTAGAAAATCACTGCTTCATTTACAGAAACGAAGACTATAAACTAGAGCGGTGCTTCCTAGGGCAAAAGGCAGTTGGCAGAATGCTAAGGAACATTTTCATAATGAATTAGTCAGAATAAGGCTCATCAGGAACATCCAGGAAGTGATAGTGATGCCAGGCAGACCTCAGAGACAGAGGCATTGGGCGTGTTGGTGTACCATCTTACATCAGCAGGGCACATACCCAGCTTCAGGACTGGGGTTTATTACATTGGGGAAAGACAGCAATTAGAGGAGCTATTTCAATTAAAAATGTAAAGATTATTCCTCTAAATTAATTCTTGTATTGCTCCTCTTTATATGTGGAGCTGCTTTTCAAGACAAATCATATTAAGAGGAAGATTATATTTACAAAATTAAACTTAAAAAAAGAAAGTGAAAATTATGATACTAATTTTTTTAAATAGAGAAAAAGAATGTGTTTATTGTGATACATGAATTAGAGAAAATATTGGTAGCATGTATGGTACAAGCTAATTGTTAAGAACTGAAATTCTAGACTGCTGCTTCAAGTCCAGGCCCTATTTATTGCCCTTGATCATGGACAAATTAATTTTTGCCTCAGTTTCCTGGAAAATGGTTTCTGATATGATTTTGTATGAATTGAGATAATAAACAATGAGCTTAAAACAAGCCTCCAAAGTGATGTGTTATATGTGTTAGCTATTAATATATTCCAAACCTCTCTAAAGAAAAAAAAAACTTCCCTGATTTGCATACATGCTTATCAAAACCCAAATGGGAAAATGGAAGTATAAACAGCCCATAAGATTAACAGCGTTGAGTAAAACACACGATCTTTCTGACATCGTTTTTTTGCTTTTTTTAAAAAGCCAAGAATGGTCACTAACTTTCTCTTGTTTAATCTTACTTTCTAGAGTGGGGAGACCAGGACGATCTCTCACTTTCATTATACTACCTGGCCAGACTTTGGAGTCCCTGAGTCACCAGCTTCGTTTCTCAATTTCTTATTTAAAGTGAGAGAATCTGGCTCCTTGAATCCTGACCATGRGCCTGCAGTGATCCACTGTAGTGCAGGTATTGGGCGCTCTGGCACCTTCTCTCTAGTGGACACCTGTCTTGTTTTGGTAAGTGCCATTTATGGTCTCATTTCAGTCCTCTTTTTTTCTGCCTACTGGCAGGAATAGGCTCTGATGTCATATCCCAGAGCCAGGTTTCTTAAGGTTAAACTTCTTTCTTTGGACAAAATCTGGAACACTCATTTCCACTCTTTGGACTGCCTCCTTAATGCCTGTGGACTTGAGTCAAGGTGACACCAGAGCTCGCAAGAAGAAGCTTTTCTCTGGTAGTTTCACACTGCAGAAGTAACAGGCCCCCTTTCCAGTAAAATTCACCTTGGTATTGAATTTCTCCCTGCCCGGACAAGCTCTTTGTCTGTTTTTCCTTCACTGGGGCTAGTGACAGTACTTACAGGGCCGCTGTGAGGACTCAGCAAGTGTTACCTGGTGCTATCTTTCCTTCCCTGAATTCTTGTGTATACACTCAGAGCTGTAAGTCTCCACCAACCCTTCCCAGCCATCACCAGGATTCAGGTCCTGTTCTGGCTTTGTAGAACCTTCGTTTTTTTCTTTGTTTTGGTTGTAGGGGGCCTCTGGTTTCCCTTGATTCCCTTTAGTATTGCCGTCATTTGTCCCTCCTTTTATTATACAATCAAACCCATCAGTAGTACCTTCTGCTTTGATTTCAGTGTCATCTCTTCAATATTCCCCCTAGTGTAATTTATACTTTCCTGAGCTTGTTTTAGTATTATCAACAATGTGAGCAATTTATAGACTGGTGTTCTTAGGGTTTACGGCCCTGTGTTGCCTCACTTTACTTTATTTATTAGTCTCTTAGCTTTCCCTGTAAAGTGTAGCTATGCTTCATTGCTCTGGTCTTAGCATTCTCAGGCTTTCTAATATGACTGCTAGCATAAGTAGGTGCTCACATGAATTCACACGATGTACTCCTGGTAAACATGCGTACTTTAATGGGGATCTTGATCAATGTGATAACATTCTTGGTGGAGCATTTTGAATCTTGCATCTGATGAAAGCTAGAAATTACAGTTCAGTTTTAACCTATCAGATTATTATATTCATCAAAAATTGGATTGTTACATTACAGTGAACCTCGCCATATATAAACATTTTGGTTGCTGTTAATGACAGCAACCATTTTTTTCTTTTTCAATTTGGAGGTCTTTTTTTTTTTTTTTTTTTTTTTTAAAGAGAGAGTGAGAGAGGAGAGAGAGAGAGAGACAGAGAGAGAGAATTTTTAATATTTATTTTTTAGTTCTCGGCAGACACAACATCTTTGTTGGTATGTGGTGCTGAGGTTCGAACCCGGGCCGCACGCATGCCAGGCGAGCGCGCTACCGCTTGAGCCACA